ACAGTGGTAACATTGTAGCATTCTAACCTTGTACCTCTGAAAATCCCAGAAAAAAGGGTCAAACCAGAGCAACGTCACCATGCGAGCGGCTCGCCTCGCCGGGCTGGGTAACGCTGCCCGTCGTTATCTACGCACGACGTGACTTTTTTTTTTTTTGTTTCAGTCCCGTGTTCCCAAAAAGACCGAAGAAACAACTCTCTACTTAGTTATGAATGAGAAGCAACGTCAGGGTCAGCGTTTCGTTCCTGCACTACCCCTCCAGAGACAGAGTTGGCACTACAGGTTACAATAACAAAAACAGGGGAGAGAGGGACAGAAATAAGACAAAAAAATCCTTATTTACAGTAAAATCTTCTTTTTAAAAAAGTTAATCAGTACTATTTTTTTACAGGAGCAAAAAAGTCTGAAACAAATGAACAAAAGCTTACCATATTCACTAAATTTTTAATATATATTTATATATATATTTATATATATATATTTGTCATAGGTCTATAAGATCCATCTGTTCCTCCTACCCTAAGGAATGGCTAATGTCATCACTTCAGTTTTCATTAGGACGTTTGCTGGTTTTGTAAATATCTGGGCAGCAAAGCTTCCCTTTTAATATCCAGTAAGTATAAACACTAGCTGTCTAGCACACCAACAAAAACGCTCATTTTTTTCTTCAGAAGTACACTTTTTCATTATTGCAAGTTTACAATTTTTAAATTAAATATTTTTTTTTTTTTTTCAGACTTACAAATTAATTATATTTTTTTTTTTTTCCAAAAGAAGTTTAGGCACAAATGCATTGTCCCACAGTGTGGAGAAGATTGCCATTCAGTCTCTAGGCTGTGCACTTACAGCTCGTAACATACTGCGTTAGACATTCTGAATGATATGTTAAAGAGAGTCGTCCCTCAAGTTGCACTTTTTGTTTGTTTTGTTTTTTTTTTTTTTGTCTTGTTTTTAATAATTCGGGAATGCTGAAATCTCTTGCGTCTGTGATTCTTAACTACTCAGACTTGTCTTATATTACAAAAAAGGGGTTAAGGAGAAGTGTTTATGTGGGTTTAAGATAATACAGCTGTTAAGGAAGTGGTCTCTTGTTTAAATGAAGAAATGTGGCAACTTGGACCTGCGAAAGAAGTGAAAAAAAAACCACATCAGTCAAGGATAGATGAATACGCATCACTAAATCCTCTCTAAACAGAGGATCTGAGCGTGGCTTTGGCATCAAGCCTGCTGGCAGGATGACCTGATGGCCAGTTTATAAAGGGTGCCCCTCGCCCACCTGCCCACCCCCAGCAGCCCAGGGGACTCTCTGTGCCTGAACTCCCCGTGAGCGGGTGTTTGGAGGGCACCTGGGCACTGCTGCAAACAAAACTTGCCTTTTTTTTTTTTTTTTTTTACATCTGTCCCATGTGATTGGAGGCATCTCCCATCCCAGGGTGGGGTCCTGCCAGGGAAAGTGGAGGAGGATCCGAAGAGACTTTCTCTTCTTCCCTTCTTTTCAGACAGGCTGCTTTAGGATTCAGGTTTCTTTCTGTGGAATGGAAGCAAAACACGATGTGAAACATTCAGGTTTTTCTATCAGGCTGGCTTTGACGTTGCACATGCGTTTAAAACATTCTCAGTGACTCAATAAAGTCAGGCTGCAGGAATTGAGGGGGCTGAAACGGATGACGCAGCCCCGTCAGGTCAAGTGCCGGGATGCAGGCAGTGCAACTCGGTACACAATCGCTGCAAATCCCTTCGTGTTTGGGCTTTGCGAAGGAGCGGCCAAGCTTAATATTGAATTTGGAGCTTGCTGAAGAATGTAAAAAGCACTGAGAGTGCCGAGGATCACCGCCAACGTCTGCGGTGCCAGAGCCACAAGCAAACACAAGCACCCCACGGCGACTCCGGGTGCTTTGTGGTGCTCAGCAGCCCCCAGGGGGACACATCCTGTCCCCTCCGTGTCACCGGGTGACAGCCGTCCCCAAACTCGGGCGGCACTCACCTCTGACTTGCTGCTCTAAGCTGAGGATGACAGCCACAGCCTGGTGCAAAATCAGGAGCTTCGTCTGGGGCTTGTCGCTCTTCAGGTGGAGTTGCACCATCCGGCCCAACTCCTTGAACGCCTCGTTGATGTCGCGCACGCGCAGGCGCTCCCGAGCGTTGTTGGCCATCCGCCTCTCCTTTTCTCGCTCGGCTTTCTGCTCGGGTGTCAGGTCCTCGTCGTCGTTATTGCTGGGAGACAAAAAGGAACACCTCATTTTCTAATGGTGCGGGCAACAAGCAGGGTCAAAAAGATTTTCAACAGCATTTGGCCAAAAACAGGGCAACAAATCAGTCAAACAGCTTATAAGATATAGATATTTGCTGTTCCTTTTCCTGCAAACCTGGGCAAAATTCAGTCCCCTTAAATTTTACACTGAATTAAGTTTGTTATCAACCTCTACATTCTGCAAGGAAGACACTTTGGAGAATTAGAGAGTTTTTTTAGAGATTTTTTTTCAATAATATATTTTGTCACGCTCGATACCTCAGCTTGTTAAGTCGTGACAAATGCTGAGAGCCCTTTTTATATTTGAGAGACGCTTTTTATGTTTCTGTGACTTTCTTCTGTGCCGAATGTAAGACTTGAGATCTACTCAGCTCAAGTTATAGAGCACGTGGCCCCCCAGCAGACAATCTCCGGGTGACCCAGACAAGGACCGGAGAGAAGGTCAAAGCAGAAACACCGAAATATAAAGAAGCTACAGCATGACTGTCCTTTAGAAAAAAACTTTCTCTGCTATCAGCTGGTGGGGGCAGGCAGCCCACCAGTCACTGAGCAGAGCCCGGGCACCGAAATGCCTGCGGGCAAACGGCCACGGGAGGAATTGCTGGCTGCAGAGAGCCCCACGGTGAACTTGGGCATCATTTCTGCAACAAAACGGCTTTCCAGCCAGATGAAATAATGATTTTAAATTGAAAACACATCAACTGGTGAGTCACTGCCACTATGTAATTTGAATTGGTTATGCAAATAGAGTCATAAATTTCCAGCAGCCCTAACAACACGGATTTAGATACATAACTAAATATCGGGAGTAACCTTTTAGAGCTGCAAGCATGTTAAAAGCAAAACTGTTAGCCTACAAAAGCATCAAAGCACGTATAAATATGCATAAGCAACGGTGTAATTGTTGAATTAACAGGGACTACAACCACCTTACAGCAGCATCAAGCTCCTTTCTTCTTCCCAGGTTGGAAACGGACATGAAAGCCTCACTTATGGTTACTCCAACACATTTATTTAGAAAGAATCTCAAGTGTCATACGTTTTCTCCGGTCATACGAGATGTGAATGCGACTAACAGTTTAAAAATCAATGTGTGCAGGCTTGAGAGGTCAGAATTTCGGCGCTCTCTCCGTGGCAAAATGTCTGCTCAGATGTTTCTTACCTTGTCTCAGCCTTTGCACAGACAAGCAGACACGGAAGGAGAAAAGGCAGTAAGACATGGCCAGTCACAATCATTTAAAAAATCCCCTAAATAAAACAGAATTTCAGCCTTATTTGCAATTTGGCTGGGTAGTTTGGGACTCAAGTGATGCTAAAGAGTGTCTGCACTCCTAGGCTGTACCTCAGGTGTGCTGAGATGCAGGTGAGACGAGGGAATTTAGGATAAATGGGACAGCTGTGGCCTGTCCTTTGTTAGGTGGTTCATGTTTGCTGTGCCCATGAACATTGCTCAGGTTTACCATGGACACAAGCTCCCAAATGATACAATACAGCTAGAATTTAAATAATGCTTTCAAAAAACGTATAAATAATGTGCAGAACAAGCCTTGTCCCACCAGCAGTCCCGATACACTCCTGCCTTTCCTAAGCATCTCAGCCTCGAAGGAAGAGAGAATCCTCCTGCCCTTCCCATCTTCCAGAAACGACAGGAGGGCCAGATCCTCATCTGTTGTAATAATGCCACCAAATTTTCCAGTTCAACCTAGACAGCTCCAGAGGCTTGCAGAAATTGAGGACATGGCACGACGGATTTATTTGAAAGGTAAAAGCAAAGAACACGGTTTGTTAGTTCAGATGCAGGTGTGCTCGACTTTCGGGCTCGTTTTTAACAAGACGCCAATCCGTACTGCATTCCCGTTTGCAAGCAAGGGCAGAGAGGAATAGCAGTATAATTAATGCATTTTAGCAAAATATAATTTCTTTAGAGATTGTGGAGAACTTGGTCGGGGTCCAAATTTGTGAATTGTTCAAATTTGAGGAAGTCCTGGAGTACAAGCACCAGAAGTGTGCTCAGTACTGCCAGGACAGCCGTTCTGTTCCACTTAGGCTGTGGTTTTACCTGCCAGGAAAAAACCTCATAGTTTCCTCCTGTGCTGTTCACTTCATCAAAATCCAGTAAAGGAATTAAATGAAGCGACACTATTATATACTGTTACCTAGATCTTGACCTAGTAATTGATTTGATATCCTTCTTGTCATCCTCTAGTTTCTTGTCCTCGGAAGATTTTGTGTCCTGGAGGTTTTCGTCTCCCTCGTCGTCGGATTTGATTTCGGAGCTCCCTGAAGAGACGCTCTGCCCTTGCAGTCCAGCTGGCATGCCTGGGAGAAAACACACGGAGGAGCTGTCAAACGCAGCTTACGCAAACATCGGAGAGATCTGGGGCCAAATCCTCCGTCCCTGCTGCCCACTGAAGGGTGACCCGTGTGTGCAGCCCCAAATAACTGGCACTGAGCGAAGCATGAAGGCCCTAAAACAAGTTTCAGTGATGGTTCTGAGGTCTTGTTCTGCTCCTCAGCCTTCAGGAATAGTTCACTGACGCCTAGCTGCTTTCTTCAATCACTCCCTAGGTTTTCCCTCATCTTAAAAAAAAAAATAAAGATCTTTAGTATGTCATTCCTCCCCAAATACACTAAGTACCCCTGCTGCAATGGATGAGCAAAGGCCTTGTGGTGGAAATCCAGCCTTTCACCCTAAATTCACATCTTTCTGCTGTGCAACCCGCAACCCTGAAGGTCCCCATCCAACCCCAATCACTCTGCGATGCGCGGGATCGAGGTGTGGGGTCTGATCCCCGTGTTATGGGGCTGCTGCCGGCGGTACTCACCCCTGTAGGGGTCTTGGGGTGGGTTCAGGTCCGGGGACGTGGCCGACTGCACGGGCAGCTGGGGCACCGGCACCTGGTTTGGCACGAGCGAGTGGCTGCCGCGGAGGCTCACCCCGTCCTCGCGGTGGGCGCCGACCTGGAGACAGAGGAAAAAAAGGTGGTGAGAGGTGACAGCCCGCAATGGGACCACGGGGGCTGCGACCCTACAGCCTTGGGGTCCTGCTGCTGCCCTAGGGTGCTGCTGGGAGGCTGGGTGCCTCGCCAGAGGGCGCCGTGAGCCCGCAGAGCCGAAGCCCGGCCGGGCGTACAGGCGGGCGAGCGAGCGGCTCAGGCAGGTAAAACGTCAAAGCGTCTCCCGGGGTGCCTTCGCCGAGCGCGCCGCTTGGCGCCCATCTGTCTTCTATCATGTCCGCCAACAGATCTGACAATTATCTTAATGCCCATATGCTTAATTGCGGGCTTCGCAATTCCCCCATTGCCGGCGGGAAATCCTGCAGGGATTGCGACTTGGCATCCCGCTTGGCGTTGCGGGGCCGGGCTTGGCGGGCCTGACGTTCCTCCCCGTCCCAAAGAGCCCGGAGAAGGCTCTGACAACGGGGGCCGGGCAGCCGGGACCAAACGAGCCCAATTTCATGAAGCACCGAGCCCCAAAGCCGAAGGGGCAGCGGGTCTGACTCCGGGTGATGTCCCCGTGAAGGTTTTATGAAACACTCCGGCAGTGCCATCAGCGGGGCTGCAAACCCATCCCCTCCTCCCACCTTCCTCAATCAAGGAGGCTGAGGAGAAGAGCCAACGAGCAAAACTGTCAGAAAAAGCTCGAAAAAAGCCAGGAAAGGGCAACGTTGGAGCTGCAAAGCTCCGTTTGTCTGTACCCCGTGTCCAGAGCTACAGGCATGAAGATTTTCTACATGCTCCGGTCTTCCTCAGGTGTGCGCCTCCCTAACAGCGGCGTGAAAGGGGTTTTCGTGGCTGATGAAGCCAGCAGCCAGCTGTAAATCTCTCTTTCTTCTCCCTACGTGAAGCGCTCGGGCAGATAAAAAAAGATGGGGGAATGTTTCTAATCAGACTTACAAGATAATATGGTATAATTGTTAACAGCGAGTCGAGACCGCAGTAGGGAAGATAAAAGGGAATCCTGCCAAGGGGAACTTGAGAAAATCTTTTACTACTAGACGAAATGCAAATAACCGAAAGCCAAGTGTAAAAGAGCACAGACAAAAACTCTCTCCGCGTTGAGACGCTGTAATTTTAAAAACGTGACGTGCTAAGGAAGGACTGGGAGCGGCGTTACTCGGTTCGAGGGAAGGAAGGTTTGTTACGAGGGTGTGCTTGGGGGTCTGCACTTCTCCTTCCTTAAATCTGGAAGGATTGAACACCACACAGTCAGAGTGGCATCTTTTTGAGGAGAAAAAGTGCTTTTCCCATCAGCTGTGACACAAATATATTAGTGACACGGGCTGGGCCTGACCTAGGGCCACCAGGTCTACCCAGGGGGTCGGCCCTGACTTCGGTGTCCCCACGGGGTGCGGGGGTCTCGCCCAGGTGACCCCCAGCAGCCCCATCCCATCTAAATTCTTCTGGGATTGTAAAAAAGATGAAAAACATTTAATTCAGAGGTCGACAATGAAACATATGACAACATTTCTGCTTGGAGAACAACCACCGGCCTTCAAACAGCGACTGGAAGCTGCGAAGCCGCTCCGACAGCCGCGAGGTCTCGCTGCCGATCCCTCCCTTTTCCTGCAAGCCTCCCTGGGCTCCAGCCACGCTCCGTGCAGACAGACAGACAGACAGACAGACGGAGCGACCCGAGAGCCTGCCAGCACCCCATCCTGCTCCTCCTGTGGACCACGGCCACCGCGGGATGCCTCGAGCTGGGTGGTCCAGCTTGGAGCGAGACAGCCTGGATATCTCGATTCCTGGGCCTGGCTGCTGGGGGACGACCTCTGATTTATCACATCAAGAAGCAGAAGCAGCAATCACGATGGAAGGCTAACAGTAGGGACGGTTTTTTAACTCAAATGTTGACTTCCGAGGCTAAATCAGGTGCTACGAGGTCACCATCGCTCTACCGCTGATGTATCGACCAAGTTTTGTTCATGTTTTTCAAAATAGGTCTGATTAAAATAAAAAAAAAATCATTTTTTTCCTCCTTTAGGTTCTCAGGAGATCTAGAAGGTAACCACGAGCATCATGTGTCCCATCTGCCTGATACGAACTATCCCTGCCCGATACTGCCTTCCCATGGAGTATTCTCCCGGATACTTTATTCCTACAATTTCGGTCACGTCGTTATCCATAAAGGATGTGGTTTTTGAGATCCATCAGCTCCAACTGCCCCATGTGAGACCTCAGGGGCCGAAAGCAGCCAGGTCCGTGCGTTTTGGGGACGCATAAACGCTGCCTTTCCCGCTCCCCCTCCCCAGCCAGCAGCGCCGCCGGTTTGTCTGTTGTCCAAGCACCAGCCTTGCCCCGAGGTGGAGCAGAGATACGCATCGTTCCCCCCAGCCCAGGAGTGCAGACCTATAAATAATACTTATCTTGGGAGAATCAGGCTCGCTTTGAAGTCCTATTAATATTTGATTCCTTTCCATCTCCTCAAACAGCCCCGACTGCACCACTCAGCAGATCGGAGTGGAAATAAGACCCAAAGCAAAAGCAACAGCGAAGCCAGAAACGCGCACGGGAGGTACACACGGGGCTGTTGATGTGCAAATCTCTGCCCTCTTTGAAATCCTGACCTCACACACGTGCATTTTGCAACTCTTCAAGCGCTGGAAGAAGGCTAGAGCTCGTCTCCTTTTACCTCCTGCTTTCCTTTTTACGCACGGTGAAGCCACTCAGCGCAAACGCCAGGTTTTTCTGGTTGCACAGGTCTGTGCGCATTTCGCATTACCTGCGCTATCTCCGTCTCCATCGCGGATGGGAAGCTCTTAAAAAATGCTTGGAAATCCACTCCGGAGCACTCAGCACCTCGTGGTAGAGCTGGGTAGCAGTAGTTAGAGCGGATGAACAGCACGATAGTGGGATTTTCCAGACACATATTCCATGAAATAGGGGAATATTGTCTCTCTGGGTGATGAACCAGAGCCAACACTGCTCCTCTGTTACCTCGGCTGTGCGGTTCTGCCTCCTGAAAGCAGAGGGGCTGGAGGCTCTTGTGGGCTCACCTGTGGATGCCAGGCAAATTGGGAAGATCCTCGGGTTTTGGGAAACCTACAGAGAAGATGCGATGTGCGCGTGGTCACCCGACACGCCCCAAAGTGCTGCATCAAGTGAATTATTTGAGTTACCTCCCTCTATCTTTGTCGTGTGTATGAGGATGGAAACTTTGATCCCCCAGAGCACGAAAAGCCACCATTTGACCCAAAATCCAGAAAACCGGCCATACAAATGCTTCTTTTATCGCTCGCAGGTGGGCATTTGAAGTTTGGGAAGCGTAAGGAGCTGTAAAAAACGGGGCAAGGTTTCCTATTCGGAGCCCTGCACCCCCGATCCTTAGGGTTAACCCTTGGCGTGATGAGCTTGATGAACTTTCTGAGCACGAAGGCACAAAAGGAAGAGCGATCACCTGCTGGCAGATGCTCCCGAGCGAGGGGCGGCTCCTGAGCAGCTCCTGGAAGGAAGGGACGCGGCGAGCAGCGGGGCTTTGCGCTTTGCCAACTGATGACCCCGTGTTATCCAATTAGCTAAATAAAAACACGCGGCAGCAAAGTTGGAAGGTGAGGCATGTTAACATGTGTTCAATATTGTCAGAATTTATAAGGCTGACGGAAAGCAGATTTGTGCAAAGCCCTTCGAAAGCCCCAGCGCGATATTAAAAAGGGAACGGCGCGGGGGCACGCCGACACAAATGGCCTCTCACTGTACGTGTGCATTATTGGGCCAAATTATTCCCTCTTATTTAACTGCCTCGCAGCCTTTCATCTCCACGCTATACAATAATAGCTTCCATATGACCGGTGGCTCGGCTATAAATAAGATCAAAAGCCAAAAGAAAGGATTTAATAATAATAAAAAAAAAAAAAAAAGAGAGACATTAGGAGTGGCATTAAATCAGGAAAACAGCAAAGTTCAATTTTTTTTTTTCTCCAGAATAAAAAAAACAACTTGCAGCTCTCGGAGCTGGAGATAGAAAGGGGCTTGGAGTATGGGATTAAGAATATGAACTCTTCTTCATCGACTCACGAAGCTTGGGCACTTTGGGAAGCCCGTCCCATAATGGGAACGAGGAGAAACCCAGGGCCGGAGAGTGGACGAGCCCCGAATCACGGGGTTTGAACAATGAGCCTAATTAGCTGCTGGGGAATGAATGAATGAAGCCCTTGTGCCCAGGGCAGCGTTCTCCAGAAGGAGGTGTCGCTTCAATATCGGCCAGAACCAACTTTACGGCCTCGAAAACCGCTTCCAAATATGATAGGGAGGCCGTAATTTGTGGGGCGGCAGGACTGGCAGCCAATTAGGCAGAAAACTTCCCTCAAAAACCCTACACTGGTGCCCGTCGTGGCAGATTTTATCCCGCTAAGGTCATTCTGCCCCTTTATTTTATTTTATATTTTATTTTTTTTCGACGGACGTGATACCTGTTAGCTAAAAACCATCGGCGAGGCAAAACAAACAACAGATGCGACGGCTACGGCGGCGCTGAGAACGGAGAAGATGAAAAGATAATCAGAAAAAAAAGAAGAAAAAAAAAAAAAAACACACCAGCAAAAGCCAGATTTCGCCTTTTAAACACCGCCAAGTTGCTTGCCTCTTTTTTGTTTATGTATGAATGACATAACCGAGTTACTTCATGAGCTGCTACTTTAATTCCTAGGGGTGGAAAATTCCGTAAGTTAATTTAATGTGGATGTAAAAAAAATATACACGAGCATGCTCCCTTCCTGTGGGCCCTCATGTGAAGCTCGCAGGCGAGCTGATGGACTTCTAAGCACTGTCTTAAAAAGAATGTGCACCAGTTTGTGTTTTATAATGATTTTAATCAATCCCTTCATGCCCTGCTACAAAAGAAACATGTGTCTGCGAAGATTCCCGTGTAAAAGTTAGCGTTTCGGCGCGGGCTGCTCCAATTTCATGTGAAATGTTCCAATAAAATCCCTCCGATCTGCATAACCCCTGAAATAACAGGAACTACCGAAAAGCCAGGAAATTCGCGGGGAAAGCCGAAAATATCTGCTGAGCTCATGCCCTTGAGAGCTGGAGACGGGCAGCTCCCGCAAAAACTCCAAGCTTTTACCTCCTTGTGCCGTAAAAACCATTCCGGGGGCAGAAATATTATGAGAAGCTCGGAAACAAAGCCAGCATCACCCAGATTTTTAACCCGACATCCACAGCGAGTCGATGGAAGCTTCTTTACGGGTGTCCAGGGTTGTTTTCTGCTCGCTTTCTACCTGCCTTTTAATTGCCACGTCTCCAGGCCCTGCTCGCGCGTGTGCTTCATTTCAAGCTCACCAGCGGTCCCCGCGGGGCGAGCCGCGGCCATAAAGCTCCGCACACGTGTGTTTGCAGAAGTGGGGCCCTTGTGGGACGGGAAACCTGAACCTGCTTCTCTCCTGCCAGAGGAGAGATCGCCCCTTTCCCCGTGCGCCCCCCCAACCCGACCCACCTCGCCGTGCGCCCCCTCTGGGGGTACCCGAGGAGCCCGTTTGCTCCTTTAGAAATGGTGTGGATAAATGTGTGCCGCTCGCCCAAGTCAAAGGAGAGCTTAGAAAGGGGCCTGCTCAAAATTAGCAAGTGCTCAAATCCTTACCAGGCTGCTAAAAAAAAAATTAGGGAGGGAAAGAAAGTCAGAGCTCGCTGCGGCAAAGGGCTCGTGTAGCCAACAGGATGCTGCTTGCAGCTACGCAGCTGCAAATTTGGGCTAATTCCCCCGAAAACGGAGCACCCCATCCACATATTTTCAACGGGGGAGCAGCATCTGCCCTACCCCTGCCTCTTTTTTGTCTGGGGAGAGGGTGCAGGGCACAACAGGGCCGCTGGATCCCCGGGCTCGAGTTACCCCGGGGCCGAAGGCAGCGACCGAAGGTGTACGGTGGGCAAGGAGATTTCCACCAGCACATTCTGTACAAGTTTCCGGTCCATACCTCCCACTGCTACTTTATTTACTGCAGCTGGCCAGCGTTTTATAGCCTGTTTCATGTATTAAAATTCAAATGTGGAAAACATTACCAGTATCCTCCTTGATTTTTTTTTTTGGGGGGATTTTTCTCCCCCCCCCCCCGCTTCGACTTCCTTTTCAGCGTGGAATGTATCAAATGGTCAAAGGCTAACTTCAGCCTGACTCCACTCACAAACTATTTCCTTTGTTCTTCTGGTTTTGCTTCCAAATTCAGCCCAGTTTTCCAAAAGAAATTAGCCGGCCTGCCTCCTTCGCGCAAGTTACAGTTTCAGACAGTGAGTAATGCTGTTTGGGAGCTCGGCAGACTGGTGTTTTTTCAGGGAACTTGTGCCCGGCTCGTTTTTTAGAAAGAGCACTGCCCTCGGAGCACCGTATCTGGCTTCCAACTCCCCTCATCCTGCTTGCTTTGCCCACCTATTGATCTCACAGAGGCTTTTGGAGACACAAGCAGGGGCTCGCCTCCGAAATCACAGCAGCGCGAGCCCCCCCGGATCCACGTTTCCAAGCCAGGACACGCGAATTTCTCCAAAAGCCCCAAATCTGAGCGTATTTTTGCGACCGCTTCCATTTCGCGTCGCCGCCCTGTTGTTGTTGTTGTTGTTGTTTGCTTCCATCTCACTTCACCTACATCTGGTAGTTAGGCGAGGAGCACATATTTATGGAACAAACCCTCTCTGAAGTGATGCCCTGGGTGCATGTTGCATCGGTTTAACATATGCAAAGCGAACAAAGCTACAAAAATTAAACTATTTTCTCTTGATTGAGAGCAGATATGCAGCAACAGTTGTAAGTCACAGATCTGGCTTTTAATAAAGCCAGATTTCTTCATTAAAAGCAGTATTGTTTAAACACTGGAGGAAAAAATAGCTTTGTACAAACTCAAATCTTAGATTATATGGATCCCAAGTGTATTTAACATATTACCTGAGGCCAAGCTAAATTACAATCTAGAATTTCCTTTTGTGAATTCGCAGCAACTGCCACAGAGAGCAAAACAATGTCTGGTTCATGCTAATTTTATTGGGGAAGGGGAAAGGAGATGGATTTAAGCGAGCTGCTGAAAAAGCATCTTTTTACCTCTCGGAGCCTGTTGCCAGACCATTTTCAGTCAACACTTAACATTTTTTTTGGGGGGGATCTGCAAATGGCACAGGCTCAGTTGTGGCTTTTAATGATATTTCGCTCAGAGTCACTTCTAGTAATGCTTAATTTCTTGAGGAGCAGAGGCTATCACAAAGACGCCCCAATAAGAAATAAATAATAATAATAATAAAAACTTATTTTAGTTTCTCAGGTTCCAGCAACTGATGTTACATTTTAATAACCTGAAACGATTTCATTCAGAGCTGAAAATCTATGGGCTGATATTTAGCTCGTGTGTGGACAAATATGAAGGGGAGAACTGTCAAGAGTATTTGGGTGAGAATATCTGGAAATCCCTCTTTTCCTCGGAGGGGGAAAACAGAAGGTGGATGGGTTATTCTGATTTCCACCCGAGACAGCAGAGCGCAGTCAGCAAGGTCTTGGGCTCCAGGCTGACCCCAAAATCTTGCCCCTGTGGGTGCTGGGGTGTGCTGGGGGTGCGGAGCCATCCCCTCTGCTCATCTGGGCCGCCTGAGAAACACCACGGGACGCAGGAATGGCTGTGCTGAATAAAGCAAGGCTCTCAGTAACGCTGGGGCTAATTATTTTATAATCACCTAACTGACTATCACGACAGAGCCCGGCACTGGGGGCATCACCAGCGTGCAGCAGCCTGGAGGACGCGGCAATTACCAAATAATTGGCCACCAGAAGAAGCTCCTGCCTTCCCCGAGCACTTGCCTCACGCTCCGGCATCAAAGTTTTTCTTTCTTTCTCTTTTTTTCTTTCTCCTTGTGAAAAAAAAAGGAGGAATCCTGTCTGAATCCTGTCAAATCAAACTCTAAATGTTTGCATTTTCCATATGATGTCTAATCCTATTTGGAATGCTTCTGAACATTTGGCCTTGATTACATCTTGGAGCAATGAATTTCACAGGTCATTGTGTGTTGAATAAAAAGTATTTCTTTTTGTCAGGTTCACTGAATGTCCCCTTGTTCTTTAATTATAAGGAAGGATGAATAGAAGAGCTAGATTTACCTTCTCTATGCTATCCATTATTCGACGTACCTCTATTATGTCTCCTCTTATTCATCTCCTTTCTAAACAAAATCACCACAATCTGTTCAATCTCCCTTCACACGAAAATCCTTCCGTGCTTGCAAGCACTCTCGCTGTTTGTCACCGAACTTCTCCTAATCCCCCTACACTTTTTTAAGACGGGAAAACCAAAACAGACCAACTCCAGGTAAGGCATAAAAACACATATGTGTGTGTATAAGTCCACACTCGAGGCATATCCTGGCATTCCATCAGGCTTGGTGTCCTTTCTCATGTTCCCGTTCAGTTCAGCAGGTCTCATTTATTTATTCGTTCATTCATTTATTTATTTTAATGATTCGTGCACACTGGAGAGAAATTTCCAGGCAACCCTCACAGAGGCACATGCTCTCCTCCCAAATTGAATAGAGCCCAAGATGTATATGGTTAATTGAAATTCTTTCTTCTAATCTGCTCGGCCTTACCCTCAGTATGTGGGATGAGACGGGGATCAAGCCTAGTCCTCCCACAACGCCACGGCAGCTAACTGGCCGTGGATCTGTCGAGTCCCTTCCTATTCCCACATATTTTCCCCCTGTCCTAATTAACCTAAATACCTCGAACCATCTGAAAATGCTGCCAGCTGACTCCTCGGCCCTTTCTCCCATTCCGCGTGGAACAAGCAACTCTATTTCGAGAACGAAATTTCGAAGCGTAACAAAGTTTGCCCTCTAATCCTGACGAGAATCACACATCCAGCTTGGCTCTGCCCAGCCTCCTACAGGACCCTTAGTTTGTCATTAACGTCCACTGAGCGACTTTAAGATGTCTGCAGACCCGAACGCGGGGCGTTAGATGGTTTTCCTCAGTATACTTTAAAAAAAAAGAGATTGAGGAGACCCGGTTTTCCTTCACATGAAAGGAAATTAGCTGCCAGATATTTCCTTTTCCAAGTGCAAGGCGTTTGCCCTGGAGACATAAGGGTGTACTTAAGGCCCCGTGGAAGTGGAAATCCCAACAGCACACCGCAGAACGGGTCAGAGGCTTTTGTCAGGGTGACACACGGACCTGACACTAAGCATTATGGCAGCAGGGATGGAGCTGGGACTCCGTAACACAAACAAGAGCCAGCAGCACGAGGAAGGAGCAGGCTGCTGAGCACCGACCACTCGATGTTACACAGGGGCCACTTAATCCAGAGTGAAACCGAAGCCACACTGAGTGTGAACAGCTCAGACTCAGGCTCGGAGCCACTTTCTCTCCCAGGATTTAAGCACAAACGTAACACAAAGCCAGGATTAGCTCCTGCTCTCTGAGCCTTCTCCAGCCCTGCCTGCCTTGTCTTAAAATCTGCCCCCAGCTTCCCGAACACAAAACGCAACGCTCCCGAAATCTTAACAGCGTGAAAGGAAAGGCATTTCCAGACTGGTGTGAGGCAGTGGCTTTACATAGTGCAGGCTGGGCACGAAAAGCCGATTTATAAACCCCGAGGTTTCACACCTCAACCTGCCACTCCACGTCAGGAGGGGCAAGGCAAATGGCGGCCGTGCAGGGGGCCCGCAGCCACCTCACGCACACACATTAAGCAGCCCCCACGTCCCCTCGTTCCTCCCCCGGGCCCGTTTTCTGTCAGATCTTACCATGAGCGAGTGCCTGTTGGCGGAGAGCAGGCCGGTGCCGTAGCCGGAGCCCAGGCCCGCCATGGCGCCGTTGTGCGAGGGCCCTATCAAGCCGTGCATGTCGGCGTGGCCGCCCGGCATGGCGGTGGCGGGCCCCACGGCGTGGTTGCGCAGCACGTGGATGGCGTCGTCCAGCCTCTCCAGGCGGTCCTCGATCCGGCTTTGCTGTGGGCGTGCGAGAAAGAAAAGCGAGAGCAGCGTCAGCAGCCGCGGGGCCCCGCAGCGGTGGAGGCGGGCGCAGGGCTGGGCGCGGGGGGCAACGGGGGGCACGGTCACCCGCAGCCAGGCCTGCCTTCTCAACCCCTTTTCTCCTTTTTTTTCCCTTTTCACGCTTTTATTTATTTTATATATATATATTTATTATTTTTTTTTTACAGGAGTGGTTTTGTTTCCTCAGGGACACGTTTCAAATAGCGTCGCGGGGAAGGAGCGAGCATGGGTAACACGAGTGCAGCTTTGATTTTCATGGGCAAAACAGGTTCAATGATTCCTCATGAACATAATCATTACAGTACATATGTTGCCCTCTACGTTCTTTGAAAAGTTTTAGTGATACTTTAAAAAAAAATAAAAAATAATAATAATAATAATAATAAAAAAAAAAGAAGTAGGAGTAAAGGAACAAATATCCCTCTAATTTGAGTCAATCTCTAACCGGGCTTTTCCTCCCCCCATCTAGGCACAGGATCACACACGAGGAGACACTACCAGGCCACACAGTCCCTCACACTGCTCGGGTTTTTCCCCTATAGGTACGCACCCTGGATCCCTTTCCACCTCTGGTGCCAGCAGCAGAAAGCACTTGACTTGGCCGGTACACCCCATGGGCATGGTACTGGGGTTGGTGCTGGGGATGAAGGTGCACCCTGGTGGCCACCAGGTCTGTGAAACCCAACCACCTCCCTCTGCCCCACCTCTCCTCCCTGCTTCTCCGACCATCCCAAACGCCAGCTACGGCACCGGGGAGCTCCTTGAAGCAACCTGGCTGCTGCTGTCCTGAGTTACTTCCTTCCACTGTCGTCTTTCTGCTCAGCCAAAACAACTCCAAGAAATATTTCCACTCAAGGAATAGGAGAGGAGCTCAGCGGGACAGTCCCAGAGCTCTGCGGAGCTTCAACTGCGAAAATAGACACAGCTCTATGGATCTTATGGATCTATGGATCTTATGGATCTCTTAAGCAAATCTCCTAACCGACCCACTGGTCTCCAAAACACAAGGTAACATGAAAAACCTCCAGAAGACAGCCTAGAAAACATCACAGTCAATCACGGGAAGGATTTCCATGCTCGGGCAGAAAAAATAACCCCTGCTAACTCCTGAACCTGGAAATTTTCCAGTAAACTCCACTGGACTGCCGCATCCCCCAGCACTAGGTGGGTTAGCACTGTGCTCTTGGGAATTACCTGCTTTCTCTTTTCAAAGGACACTTTAAAACTTCAGCACCATTGATTTTACACCCAACGATATGTCAGGCATCTCGCACCGATCACTGGAACCTTCTAGACTTGCAGTTGAGACCGACAACCAGCTGCTAGGGTTCAGACAGAGGGTATCGGGTTCTTTAAAGTTCTCCTCTGTCCTAATGCGTGACTTAATCTTTCAATTAATAAAGATAACAAATCTTATTGATATCCCTTCAATCCTATCTGTCAGATGAACATTTATCACCAGCTCGGCCCCTGACTCTTCCCCTCAAGCTCAGCCCTTCGTGTTCTCCCGGTGAGACCATCGCTGCCACGCTGGCCACTCTCACTTCCCAGCTCCGTGGGACTGACGGACGGTGACCACGCTCTGTCCTGCTTTCTATTTCTCTTCAATACATGCCACCTGCCTCTTCACCGTTCCCTCTTTTTGTATGCACTGTTCCCTTTTCGGGGTGTTTCAGTACTGCATCCCCTGCCGTGCAAGCAAGCAGGAGGTCCTGGCCAGCTGCAGCTCCAACCAGCCTGCGAGAGCTAGAGCACGGGGCACCCTGCTGCGAATTGAGGGGTGGCAAAATCAAGTCCGAGGGCATAGCAGTTGCTAACGAAATGAAAACCTGTGTGAGAAGAATGGATGAGAAATGGAAAGAACAGCAAGTAAAATACTGAGGCAGAGGAGGTCACTAATCAAAACATACCAAAGAGTGTAAGGGACCTTCATAATTGGGAGATGATGACGCTTGACCTCCATTTCTAGACCAAACAGCTGTGCCTGCTAATAGTAAAATTGGAATTACCATTAGAACTATGCAAACAAAAATGTCTTTCAAACTTTTTGGACAGTTTTGTAGACATGTAAATGCCGTATTTCCAGATAGACTATAGAGCAGACATATGGAGACCTTCCAAAATACACACGGGTGGAAAAAAAAAAAAAAAAAAAAAGGTATTTTGTAGCAAAGCACGTAGATGCAGGCCACAAAGTTCCCCCAGGCTGCTTCTCCACATAGAGGGCTGCATTGATTCCGCAGCTGTACCGACGAGCGGCTGCAGGAGAAGGAAACGTCTCGCTGGGGAAAGGAGAAGCAGCACTTCCACGCGGTGCTGCGGGCAGCTGGGCCTCTGCTCGAGCCCCGGCACATACTAGCCCATTATCCTAACCTCACTTCGAGCCGGAGTCCGTGCCACTGATTACGTCATCCCATCATCAAATTTGCAAAATCTTTAAAAAAAAAGAAAATGAGTAAAAGCACCGCACACAACATGCTATTATATTCTGATAAGGTCGCCGCTCTCCTCGGCCAGATTATTTGGTTTGGCAGGTTCAGAATGCCAAAGGTCTAACCAAAAAATAAAAAATAAAAAAAAAATCTGGTTTGCATCCACTGCTCTACATCTGTTCCTGCTGCAGGAATAAAAGGTCTCCTCGTCTCCAGCAATGCTTTCTAAAGAAAAAAAATGCCCTTGCAAAAGAAGCAAAGCAGACACGGGGAAAAGAAGTTTTTTTTCAAGTATTTTTTTTCCAACAGCGTTTATATATAGCACAACGCTTAGACCATTTATAAAGTTCTTTCTTTTCAATGAGTCATCTTCTGAACGATCTTATAAAATGGGCTTAAGAGTTTGAGATGGAAATATTAGGATTTTAATCTTAATGTCTACGTTGAGTGGCACTTGCTTGGACTAAGATAGGCCAGGGTGGAACTCATGGCACGTTTTTTTAAGGCTCTGACAGCACGATTTTTTTTTTTTCTCATAAAAGTAAAAATTATGTCAGTTCTAATTAAAACTTAAATCTTCCCTTTTTTCTGGTCCCCATGGAGCTTTTATTTGAGATTTTGCTACCGCACTGAATGGAGCAATGAGCAGCAATCTTTACTTTCAAAATCATTTTTAACTAGCCCTTGATATCCTTGAGGGAAAGTGTCTCGCATGCTAAACACTTTCAGTTCTTATTTAAATGCATTTGTACTCCTTATTTCTCTTTATTTTGACACTTGGTTCTTTCTATTTAGTCACTAAAACTTGCAGGAAGCAAGGCAGCCCAAATTAGCACAATATTTTTCCTTTTGGTTCGGACCCTTTCATGGGGAACAATGGCAACGCCTCGCTAGGAGAAACGCAGCTCAGAGTGCCGGGGTGTCGCTTAACACCTCGGGGGTGATTTCAGGCCAAAAAAAAAAGGGCAGAAAAGGGTTTTCTGAAGCCCCAAGGCTGTGACAGGGCAGGCAGTCCTGCCAGGGGTGGTTTTGAGGGAGGAAGGGGCTTTTGCTGACTGAATTGTACCCCGATGTTAACGCTCCTTCAGAGCAGGTGAGTGGGATGGAGGTGGACTTGGTGTCTTCCTACCCCTCCTCATGGACCCCCGCCTCCAGAGGCCGGGCCACCACCTAGCTCCCTTTTCCTTCCTTTAGACACTGCCGTCTAACACGAGCTTCCCTGCCGTCCCTCCTTCCCCAGAGGTGCCATCACTGCGGGGACAGGTTAGGCCCAGGCCTCTGAGGCGGCGCCGCCATTTTAAGGCAGCACGGGAGGTGCCTGCTGTGGTGCTCGTGCCCCATGGAGAAGGAGCACAACTCTCACCAGCACTACCCCACACAACCTCAGCTGCCTTTTAGGATGGCCTGAACACGAGGCAGGGCCCACTACGGAAAGGGGACTGGAGGCTGCTGGTGATAAAGACCTCGTCACAAAGGGTGGAAAGACAAAAGGTCTTCTCCAAGGCATTAGCGTGGGTGCATGGGAGGAGAAGCCTACTGCTCTAGCCGAAAAGTCTCAGGGTTTATGAAATCTGAATTATATTCAGATAAATATTTAAAACTCCCGATGCTCATGAGAACTACCCTGGGCCTCTGGATCTTTTCAAGCTTCGGCTTTCATTAATATGAGTGGGTTTAGTTGAAATATGTCAGCTTTATAAACAGCGTATAAAATAAATCAATGGGATTCGTGGGGGCTCGGCTTTGTCCAGAGACACGTTTTATGGATCAAACTCCAGCCAGCATTTGCTTTAGCCCCAGGAGGGGATGGGGGAATGTCCAAGGAGATGCTCTTGGCCCCGGGGCGAGGCTGCCACGGGGGCACGGCCATGGCACGGGACAGGCTCCGTGCACAAGGCACCGGCCACAAGACCCCGAGGGCACTGCTGGAAATTCAATAAGGATGCATAAAAATCCTGCTTTACTGCACTACGAGCTGCCACGACCTTCTCTCTGCGCTGGCACTGCAGCATTTGGGAAAACTCTGCTCGTCTCTGGGGGACCACCGGCCACCTGCGTGTGCTGCACGTGGGTAAAGCAGTGGCCCGGTGCTGCTGGCTGGATGCACGTCGCACACCCAGTACCGTAGGAGCTCATTTAGGCATCTCCTACCAAAAATACGTTGAAACGTTCAGTAAAATAGAATTGTAACAACAATACCTGAGAGAGAAGGGGGAGAACCAACAGGAGTTGAAGGATTTGATGAAAAGCTGTTGTTGGTGTGATCTGGAGAATAGATCTTTAAAAGATGATACAGAATTAATCTAAAGCCATCACAAACTGATGCAGAAAGAAATATGGAATTCTTATGCATTCAGTTCATTTAAATGAAAGCAGGACAGGTTAAAAAGCCTCTTATTCAAATATTAATATTTCTATAAAGACAAAACTGTATTAGATGCAGGAAGCTAGACAACAGACCCCTTTTGCTGGCAACAGACACTAGCCAATTAAGCGATGGTTTCTGATTGTCACACAGATCTGCCACGGTCGATGTACACATTTTCATTGTATAGACTACTTTACGAATCGACTGTCATTGACAGGCCTTCGAGCAAGCCTGAAAATTGCTTTTTTGTTCGGCTGAAATCCCTTAACGGCCAAAATAAAGCAAAGGGCACGGAGCACGTCGCCCTGGCACAGCGGGGAATCTGCAGCAGCAAACTCCGGCCGCTGCTCCAGCGAGAAAGCCCCTGCCTGCCCCGTGCCCGGCGAGGGTGCCACCGCCCTGCGGTGTCCCTGGGGCCACGCACCGCTCGCCATCCGTGCCATTGGTCAGGGCACCACTTCAAAGTGGATTCTGTACTGTATCAAGTTAGTTCAGGCAATCTTGGAGTCTGACTTTTCGTCTTTTCAATGAGGCATCGAAGAATATGCGAGAAAAAAAAATGAACTCTCATGAGAACTCAATGGAACCCACTCTGCCCAGAAAATAACTATCGTGGTCCTTATTAACAGTCAGTCCGTGCCAACAATTACCAAACACCGAGGCACGGCAGCGTTTCCTTCTGCTCGAGCTGGAAAGCTGCCGTGCCCCGGTTACCCCGGTAAGAGCTGGTAACTCCTGACTTTAACAGCAACCACGGCAACTCAATAGGTGGAAACTGCCGTGAAAAAGAGAAAAGCTGAAGGCAAAGGAAATTTAGAGCGAATCCTGTTTGCAGATCGCTCGGTAGCACAGAAGTAATCCTGCTGCCGATTTCTGTTCAGACCTCCCTTGCCCGAGTAAATGACGTGTGAGAAAGACTGAAAGACACAGCTCATTGTCACCCAGTGAATGGGAACAGGCCAAGGTTTCCACTCTTTCCATTTCTAGTCTAGCATAAAATTCATTCTAGGACTTTGTAAACACTGTTTTGCACTGATAATATCTCAGCTGGCAGTGACTCCCAGTGGGTGACCTCTGAGACCAGGTCTCTCCTCTTTTGCTGCTCATCTTCTCAAACTCCAGGCGTCCAATTCTGATTAAAGCTCACACTTTGACAATGGTAAACGTGTATTCCAAAGTAAATATTTCCTTACAGAGGCAAGTGCTTTCCCCAGCGCATCACCAGTCTGCGAGCTGCCTGCCGCCCCACTTCCTCTGTTTGCTGAAAAACAAAAGACTCAATGTAAAAACAGACAGAAAGACATCATCCGTTTCTATTCCTGGTCCACTTACTCATAATTTAATTGCATTTTAATGCTAATTACATCAAATTAATCTTTAATTGCCATTAATTTGTTTGCTAAGGTAGATATCAAACACATTCACGCGGCATTTTTTCAGATAAAACATAAACTCGGGATGTTGCTTTTATAAAAAACGCATCGAGTATTTGACAGTGCTGGGCCATATGGCTTTATTTCCCTAAATAAAAGGTTGATCTTCGAAGATGCTCGAAGGCATGGACACTGTGCAAGTTCCTAACGCTAAAGACCGGGCTCGGGCGTGCTCAGCCTCGGTGCCTGCGCTCTGGGCTCTTCGACTTTTGCTCCAGCAAAGGTTTTCTCTCCCAAAACTTAGCCATCAGAGCAATGTTCCACATCGAAACCATCAGGAGCAAAGGCGGCAGAGATAAACTCCCCAGAGCCGGGGATGCCAGAATTCAGTCTGCCAGTGGAGCCTAATTTCTCTCTTCTGCGTCTGTACCGCGAGCCAGGCATTAATTACACGATCGCTTACTGCTCCTCCACGCAGCCCCAGCCTCGCTCGGCGCACGGGAAGGACAAAGTGCTGGTAATAAGCAGCTACCCGGGGTTTTGTTTGCTCCCCATTCACTCGGTGACCCTAGTCCTTTGTACACGTTTCAAAGCATGTTTTAAAGGCATTATTAATTTCCACAGACTCCTCCAAAGCGCTCCTTCTGACTGTACTTAAAACGCCGCGCGAACCTTTAATTAAATGATTTTTTTTTTTTTTTTTTACCATCTCTCGAGTGATAGGATTGCACCTTTCAGAGAAGCAATTGAGGGGAAGAAAAATCGTGGCGTAACCGTCCACCAATTCCTCACCCTCGAGGGGTAGGACTGAAACGTCTCCGTTCACGGGGGAAATTGCAGGCAAGAAAAATGAGGACGGAAAGTTCCAGCGGCTTCAGCATCTCTGTGGCCATTTATAAAGGAAAAGCACTGCTCTGAGTGACTGCTGGGCGTGATCAATACTCCTGCTTCGGGCCCCGCAGACCGGGAGTCAGGCGAAGAGAAAATGAGAAGCAAGCAGCCAGTCACCACCCGTGGAAAGGCCGGGCTGGTATCTGGCATCCCAATTAATGCCACCCTTCAAGCTTCGGGTTTTGTAACTCCTGAGTGACCGATTCCGCAACTTTTTTACTAAAGGGATGCACTTGTGTGTGTATATCTGCCTGGGGATGCTGCAACTCCACGGGGGTTGGGAAATCTGCAGGGAAATCTGGCTTTTGGGGACCTTTGCACCCTGGGCTAGGTGTTACAGATCCTCCACCCTGCCCAAATGTAATACCTACACGTTTAATTTGACTGCATAAAACCCTGTTTCAGCACTTCTCCTACAACAAAATCATCTAAAGAAGCCCCAAGGATGATGTGTCCCTACCTCTTTCACCTCTTTTCCATAAACTTACACATTAAATTCTTATTTAAACTTTTATTTTCACTATTGTACACTTGGAAATATGCTTATATGGCAGTGATAGCCCATTTGTAATTTCATCTCAGTTTGAAATCAGCTCTCACGATATCTAAAGTTTTAGGATTTACTCCGCCGAGCTGCCAGGGCAAGTATGAAGTTATTACAGCCCCAAATGCGAAAGCGCACCAGCAAGAATACATGGCCTCGGTTAGAGATCCAACTCATCAAGCTAATTTAATGTTGTAAATCACAACCTACAGGTTTTGCAACCAGGCAGATGTCCAGAAATCCAGTTACTTCGCTCTAAAGTGAACTGTGAATCGAAATGTAAATCATGCCTTGTTTTTTCCTTTTTCTAAGCGACCCTAACTGCATTATTCTAAAATTAAGTCCTCCATTTGTCTGTCTGAAGGCTGCTTGCTCCTAATGAGATGAGCTGTACCGCTCCTGCGGGAGAAGGGAAGCGCAGGGACTGCAGCTAAGAGGCCACCTCGCCTCTTAGCCGCTGTCAAAAACAAAGGAATTCCTTGGATATACCAAATATTTGGCTTTTCCTCAAAGACTTCACGGATGCTTTGATGGAGAAAACGGGCAAAGGAAGGGAGCCGAGGAAGCTTCTGTGGGGAAGACCAAGCTGGACATAACCAGAGATCTTGTAGAAGTCTTCATCTCCCCAAAATACCCAGGATTGTTTCAATATAGCTAACCTTTAGGGGTATAAAATAGGTGTAATATAGCTAACCTAACTTGTAGGGGTTTATTTTTTACCGCTTTACGCAGAAATTACGGTTTTTAGTTATTCTGGTACTAAAAGAGACATGACTGAAACCTGTAGGTGATTAAGAAAACTCCGCATTTGAAGGAATAACAGAAAAAATAATAATAATTAAGAAGAGCAAGCACTGTCCACTGCAAGAACCCAACTGTTTCAGAGGCTACAGCACCAAAAATCATCCCGGGACGTGGGATTAAGCAGAGAAAATGGATGTCGGGTGTATGAGAGAAGTGACACCCAGCGCTGCTTCATGCAGCGGATGGCTAAGGGATAAAACCGAGGGTTTCTATTAATATCTCCCAGTTGTTGGCCCGTCCTTTTAGCTTCACGGAAACGCTATTTAAATGCAGCCGCCGACGCCGTGGGGGCCGAGCTGACAGCTTCGGCTTGCACAACGTGGGGCACGTCGAAATAACTGGGATGCTTCCCTCAGCTCCACACTGCTGGTGCCCCGAGCCGCACACTGAAGGGAAGAAAATTCCTAGGAAAAAGCCAGGGAATGTATTTGGATGGGGCCAAAAATACCTTAAAAGAACTTTTTTCGTGGCTTGGAAGCTAATAGTGAAGCACTTTCTCAAGCTCGTCAGATGATGATGCAATAGCAGGATGTGAGAGGGAAAAAAAAAAGGTCCCAGAAGAAACGCTGAACTGATTATTTTCATCAGCTTCGTCCACGGGATGGATGGTGTTTTAAAAGGGATTAGTCAGAAAAATTGGCTCCGACCGAGGTGTCAATGTAAAGGCTTTAAAATGAATCAAGAAAAAGAAAAATACAGAAGAATGAAATGACATTTCTAAGAGCTCTCAAGCAACTCAAAGACAGATTTCCCTAACTTTTACTGCAGATTCAAACTTGGACTGACCTAGCGCTGGAGCGAAGAAGGTGCAGAACATCACAGCAAGACTGAAAGCAAAGTTCGGTGAGTTCAAAGAGCCCCCAGACATCAAATCTGACTTCCCCATGAGAAAAAACACCAAAGAACAATAAATGAATGGATAAATACGCAACATTGCAAAGCCAAGAGTTTTCGGGGGAGAAGCCACGGCGAAGGTAGCTCAGGAATGGGACTGCACGGCAGGACTTGAGCTATTCCCCCTCTCACTGAACTCTTCATGTACTGAAGGCAGCGTGAAAGGACTGCAGCCTTCCCGGAGAGAATTTCACCTGATTTTTTATAGGATCGACTCCAGCACAAACTCAGGCTGTTCTGCTGGAATGGAGCTTTCTGAGAGGGCTGGAAATGATGCGTCTATGTAAAGAGGAGCGGAAAAACTTGCAGCATCTCGGCGTTCACAGCTGATGATCTTCCCAAATCATGGGGAACTGACATTGCTGGGGCGAAGTCACATCCTTCTTAGGCTGCGCGACCGCTCGCCACCCTCGTGTAACTGGAAGCTTGGCGTTCTTGTAAAATAGACAGCGCGGTCTGATGTGACTGCTCGAGTAATAAAATTACTGTGAAACCAGTGCCTCAAGGGGAAATGCACATAATGTTTCTCCTGGAAAAGCTGCATGTCACAGTGCATAATGTCATGCAAACAACATGTCATTAGGACTGAAAGCAGCGCGCAGGATTAATGCGGGCATCAGATGGCTACGACGGAGCGCCTTCAGCATACGCTCGGCGAGCCCCGCTCGGTAACTGGTTGCCGAAACGTTGCACTGCTTCAGACCTTTGAAAACGAGAGCCAACGCTTTGCATAACATTACCCACTGCTTCCCGTCGATGCCATCGCGCAGCCTCGTGGAAGAACCTGGCTCCCAGGGCACCCAGGGGAAGGGCAGCGTGCACGCAGCCTTCGGGGCACGTTCACCTTGCTCTTCTGGCTTTGCTTTTCAGGAGAGGGATCCAGATGAAAGTCTGGAGGGATTTTTTCACATGGGGAATTCAGGCACACGGGCAGGAGACGGGATTCTCATTCCTGCCCGCGAAATCTTTTTCTGTTATCTGCAAGGCGCCCGCATCGCGGCTGTGAGATGGCAGAATTAAGTTTGCCTCTATTAGGCCTCTTTTGAGGGCAAAAATGAGAGTGATTTCTGCCTGTCGTGCCCACAGAAGCAGCAACTAGGTTGTAAAGGAAGAACTCTCAATGGAATGGCAAGATTGAGCGCGGAAACACTACCCTGAAACAGGATCCCTTTTTCTCAGACAGTGACAAATTAAGAAGAGACCGTATTTAGTTTTTGCTTTGTTCAGAGACCTTGAAAAATATGATGCCCATGTGTTAATGGTTGAACCCACCCTCCATTCTTGCTGCATTAGTCCTGCTCCCCGTCATTCAATACGGAATCATGTGTGTAATCCGAAACATGTGTCCAGCGATGTGTTCCCTATTTACCAATTATTTCATTAGCTTTATTTGTTCTTTGAGATACAGGCAAAGCACTATTTTTTTTTTAATTTTTTTTTTTTAGTTCCTGTATTGAAGCCTGACCCGGTGTTTGCCAACTCTTTAGGAAAGCACACAAACGCACGCTCTTTGATTTGCAGAGCGATGGCAGCGGGGGCTGTCCTCGCTGCAGGGACACGCTGCCACCTCCCCGTCCCCCACGCCGCAGGGAAATGGGGAAAACACCCAAGGGGACGACCACAAGGTGCATCACCAGGTGCTCCCGAGCTGCTGCAGGCAAGGAGACCACTAAGGACAGCAAAACCAGGCTTCAAAACCAGCCAGAGCAGGCAGCGGGGGCACCAGACCATCTTCCACACCATTTTTGAAGCGAACCCTTGGCTGCAATCCTCATTTCACAAAAAAAAAGCGTTCAGATCTATGCGCAAAGGAGGGCGAGGTCATTTAGGATGTGTTTATTTCCATGAACATCCTGCTAACTCCCTGAGCCTCCGGACTCGATATCTTTGATTTGGGCTCTCTGGCACCAGCACAGCGCCCTGGAGCAGAAAAAAGAGGCAGGAGGGAGCAGGGAAGCCCCGGGCAGCAGGCGCAGCGCCCGCCCGCACTCACCCATGATGCTGTCGGTCCCGTTGGCCGGCGGCGTGCACGACGAGGCGCTGTAATGATTCGTGCCGCTGCGGTGGAAGGTGGACATCGGAGGAAGACTGGAGTTGATGTCTGCTGAGGAGTGGGATGGGTAGCTCTGTGCCGAAGAGGAGGCAAAAAAAAAGGAAATATTTTCAATATTTTCAATATTTTAAGGATTGAGAACACAAAGGGCAGCAGGCTACTCGTCTTGCTCCAATTCCAGGTGCTGCTGTGCTTCACCCAACCAAGAAAAGCCACGAGGCTACGGGGGGAGGGTGTTTTTCTACCTCAACTTGACAGCTTTTGGAGAAGAGGCAGCACATCCCAACCTGCCATGCATAAATATCCACAGAGGAGGGGATGTAACTGCTGGTGAAACTCCGTTTCCTTTGGTTTCTCAGGGGAAGACATCCAACCCCTATCACTAAATATTTCAGGAGAAACATGGGATCTGGATATAGCCTAGCCAGGACCTGTTCCCTCTACTCACAGCATCTTGAAAATCACTGATGTGTCTGAGAAAATAAGAATAATAACAGCTTTTCTATCTTCTTGCAGTTTCCCTACAGGTCACTGAAAAGTTAAGGACATTTGCAGGGAATTGAACTGAAACCATCCCAAATTTCCTCCCCGGGCTTTTCTTAGAAGATTTTTTCTTAGAAGATTGGAAGATTTGGCCCGTCCAGATGCCCAGAATGGATGATTAACAGGAGCTTTGCCAGCACTGAGCACCTACAACTCAGACTGGCATCAGCTGGGTCCTCCCTGTCTCTGAAATTTAGGAAAAATAAGAATATCTATTTAAAAATAAAACACATTTTGGGGACTATAGGTGGAATATCTATTCTCATTTTACACAGTAGAAATATTCTAAGTCTGCATAAACCCCCCAACGTGTTACAAAAGCAAGAAATTCAGAATCAAGGAAGACTTAAAAGAAATGCAAGAACGTTTGCAGACTTGCCCACCAAAGTTCCCAGCTCTCTGACCTGAATCCCGAGCAGGTAGCATGGAAAAGCTCCCTAATTCTGATGGATGAGCACCGGTGTAGATACCAAATTAGATGAAATTGGGTTTTAAAAGTTATGCTCCATTTTTGTAATAGATGCCTGTCACTTCAGAGCAACATTAAGTTTGCTTAGTGCCTTAATTATGCTTTTGAGAAGGACATGATGAAGCAGTTTTTGAGGCAATCCCTTTTCCTTTCGACTTCCTATTAATTTTGCATGGCAGCGTGCTACCTTCATTAAACGTGAGACTTTAAAGATTTGTTTTGCAAATTCATTTTCAGTTTGTAACAGCGAAGTTTGTTTCTCCTTATTCCTAAAGCAATGTTTCTCCTAGGCACAGACTTCTCCCCTAGAACCAGTGCTCTCTGCTCTTCCTTTTTAACGGTCTTCAGGAGTTAAAAGCACAGGTATAGATCAGAAAAACAAAATGTTTTGTGCGTTTTGAGGAAAAAGGGCTTCACTTCAGCAGCCTGTTCATTTGTTTATCTCCTCCTTTACTTAAAAACACGAGCAAAACGAAGGGCTGGATTGATGCAACCCAGCGTCGTTTCTACATATCCAATTCAGCCGTGATATTAGGAGAATATCCACTAAGCTGCACTCAAATCAGATTTAATTCCAATTTTGTTCTATTCCAATACAATAGATGGAATCAGTCCCAGCAACTTCCTCGTGTGAGAGATCAGGATGTACCGGAGAAAATGAGAAAAAATCCCTTTTTGAAAACAGCAAATGACTGCTGGATGGCTACCTGTGACCGGCAAAGGACGGCGCCTGCCAGAAATCAAAGCCCAGGCTGCTTCGCCTCGCCGTGTGGGCTCAGCACCAGCCCACGCAGTGGCTTTTTCTGCTCTTTTCTCCTCCCAGTTGCGCCAGGAGGGGTTGGGATGGGTGAAGGAGCTGTGACCCATCAGGGCTGGCAGTGGAAACGGGTACGGCACAGGCTGGGAAAATCGTGCAAGGGAACTAATCGCCAAGATGATGCTTTGGCAGAAATGTGCTGCCCATCCCTGATCCCCCTGGCCCCGTGTCCCTGTCCCTTACCAAGCGGTCGTGGGGGTGCAGGCTGCAGTAGCTGCTGGACTGGGGGAGGTGGGAAGAGTTGCCCAGCATGCCCCCGTAGCCGGGCTGGTTCATCCCGCTGGAGGAGCTCCACGGGTCGCTGCTGTGATGGCCATCTGCAAGAGAGAGGAGGACACGGATGTGGATGTCCCAAGGTTGCAAATCCTCCGAACCACCCCCCCGGTTTGTCCTGCTGCGGGCTCGAAAGCATCAGATCACCTACAACCAACCCCATCAGGCAGAAATCCGACCTTTGAAATGAAACGCTCAGAAGGCTGCGCAATCAGGATGGGCTAACGAGCTTTGGAGAAGCCTCAGCTCGATAAATGCTGAGATACGTCCCAAACTCTGAATATTTCCACACCCAAAAAGCTGTCGGAGTTGTTTTGTTGCTGACAAAAAAGGGGCTCCCCAAATTTTATCCGAGGGGAGAGCGAGCTGCACGTTTCGCCTTTAGCTCGCCGTGCTGAAATGGAATTGCAATAACGCAACGAAAATTATTTTAAACTGGAAGAACGCCAAAGCCTTAAAAAATAATAAGAAAAAAAAGATAACTTTTCCCTAACGAGCAGCAGACCTCAAAGACAGGCACGTGGGCTGGAGGAGCTGCCTGCTCTTTCAAACTCCAGGAGTTGGTCTAATAAAAAATGATGCTGTCTCACCTACAACCCTGCCTTCTTTCTACACTTCAAACACCCAGGCAACGGCGGCACTTCCAGCATCACCTTCCCCTGGCTGTTTGAACAGTCTCTTAACGCAGATTTATGTCTTCCATGCAAATCGGGGAGAAGGTAGCACTTAAAAAAGGCAGAATGGCTCAGCACTACAAAGGGTAAATATTTGATGGCACTAGAACCCTATTAACCTCCAGCTTTTATAACCCGGGAGGAGTTTCCTGGTGCTCTCCAGGCAGGATTTGTTGATGCTGAAGCCAAAAGCACCATTTTCTTTTCAGCCACTGCCCGTCCTTGCCAGCTCAGGAGCTGGTTTGGATGAAAATCTGCACCAAAGGAGGTGACAAAAGGGACAGCGCTGCTGACGTCCTCGTCCCTCCCATCCTCATTGTCCACCAAGGGACCCCCAGGGATGGGAAAAGTCCCAGCAGAAGCCTGGAGACACTGAGCAGCACCCAGCAACTTCAGCTGGGTCCCTTTTTCCACCCACAAAATAACAAATCATCTCTTTTTCGACTCAAAAGCGATTTTTTTTCATGGGTGGAAACTGGGCAGTATATACAGAGGCAGCAAAACCCAACCCCATGCCCGCAAGTACTTCAGCCCAGCGGTCCTACTGAATCAAACAGATTAACTTGTCCTCTACACAGCCCATCTTGCCAAACTCTACGGATTTTATTTATGAAGTTATGCAGAAATTCATCGAACTTCAAGAAACTCAAGAGATAAGGAGCTGGCGAGTTATTCACCACGTTTGCTGTGGGGTCAAAGCGAGACGTTCAGAGGCACAATGGCCAGCCCAAGACCTCCAGGTCTTCATTTTCATGGTAATGCTACCGGCCACGGGATGATACGCCAGTGGGGCCTGACGACACGCGAGCCAAAATGCAAACAGAGGCAAAATATGCAAAACTGCTCGCCTTTTGAAAGCTGCCTCTTACCTTGCATGAAGAAGGAGCTAGGAAAAGTGCTGGCTGCTGGTTTTGAGGATGGATAACCTGGTGAATCCCTATTGTAGTCGGCAGTGCTTGCTGACGGGGCATAAACCTACGGAAAAAAAGACTAATTTAGTGTGCCTTTAGCAGGAAGCAGGGAAGAAATATTGAGTTTTTACCTCGCTGGGTATAAATCAGTTCGCAACACCACATCATTCTTCTCCGGGAACACAAAACCCTCGGTATATGTGTGACCGGGAAATAAATGTGAAGCTTCAAAAGAAAACTCCAGCCTGACATTTCCCAGCTTTAAACAAGGATATTTGCAAGGTATTTGTCAAACTCTTTATTTCTGTAAATACAACGAATCAGCAGATGTACATATGTTCTTCCTAGAGCGCCGAGGAGCTTAAAATAAACAAGGGCTTGAAACAATAGCGATTTTCTCATCTGAAAGCCTACGGACTTAGCACGTTGAAAAACAAAGAGGGAAGCGGTGCAAGCCAGCGAAATACTTCATTTCCCAAAAATAAAAAAAATAAAAAAAAAAAAAGAAAATGGACGTTTAGAAGAGCAGCCTTATCGGGAACGCCGAAAATTGCAAACACATCTCGGGATATTGAATTCCCATGGACGTAGCCCCTTCCAGGGAAGCTTGAAAGGGACTGCTCGAAACCTGGGCTGACACAGGACCACCAACACAGCGTGTGTACACGTCGGGGGGAAAACCCCTCCTCCCCTCGGACTCTGCCGGTATTTGTGTGTGCAATAAACTTGGTGCATGTGCCAACAGACTGCTTTCCTTGCATTTGTTTGTTTGCTAATCCACCGGAGGGGTTCTGCGACTTGCCTTTTATAACATATCTGCTGCGTTCCTTGCTCGTGCCTAGGTCAACCCGGACGGCGTTTAAAAAAAAAATACAAAATAATGGTAAAATATAAAAAAATACAGAACGGAACAACACACAAAAGAAAAGCAGACACACACACACACAAAAAAAGGAAAAGCTGGTGCAGGCTGCTGAGCGTAATTCATTATTTCGAGCGTGGTTTATTCCCTCTCCACCCCCTCTCCCTATAGCTCGCGCTATTCCTCTGCGTTTTGTTCCTGCGCTGGAGGTGCCTCTCTCCAGATGGTCAGGAAGACTGAAGCACTGTCATCTCCTTGATGAAAATGGATACCTTCCTGCCTCCATTTTGAAGCAGGCAGCAGATCACAAAATTGGCAGAGCGCCGCCGCCGCCGTTCGCAGGTCACGGCGAACGGGAAGAGAAAAGGCAGCAGCGGAGCGCAGCCGCGCCCCCCGGCCCGCACCTCGCAGCCGCTGCGGAGGGGATTTCAGGGATCCCCTCGTCCCGAAATCAAGAGAGGGTTTTAGGAAAGGGCAAGCAGAAGGGCTGTGGGATGTCGAGCCGCTCGCTGGCATCCCTCGGGCCCGGCTGCGGCGGTGCCACCCGTGCCCCTGGGTGCAGGCCGGGCCTGAAGCGCTGCCCTGCCCCAAATGTGATCCACACGGGGCAGTGCCAGCAGCAACCCCACACCCGGAGAAAGTGGGGCTAAAGTGAGAGTTTTTGGGAAAAGCAGAGCCAAACGGCTCAGCCATGGTGGCTCAGGGACCCCAGAAACCCTCCTCAGAAGCCACGGCCCTGACGTGAGGCACCGAGAGCTGCCCACACAGGGGGAGCTGAGGTAGCGCAGTGAAAGAGAGTAAGTGAGAGAAAGAAAAGTAGCCCAAAAGAAGGATTTTCGTGTTTTCCAGTTTGAAAAGCCACCTGAGCTTACGGCCCTCCTCCTTTTGGCTCGGCAGACCTCAGCAGCGAGGCAGCACGGCCGCAGCTCCCACCTGGGAAAAGCAGGAGGGGCGCTGGGCTGCGAAGAGGTGGACGAGGAAAACCCTCCTGAATCCCATCTGATTAGGAAAACCCTCCTGAATCCCATCCGATTAGGAAAACCCTCCTGAATCCCATCCGATCAGGAAAACCCTCCTGAGTCCCTTCTGATTCCATATACACAGAGATCCTGCTATTTTAAGGGCGACCGCCACCTCTTCATCCTCTCCTGTCCAGCGCTCTCCCTCCCGTGCCCCACATCGCCCACCCTGTAGTGGGGTTCGAAAGTGCTCGCTGGCTAAATTCCTGACTAAATTTATTTTTTCTGCTGCTTTATAGTGAAATTTTCACACAGAGCAAGCCGCTGGATTGAAGGAAATTAACTCGTTTTGCTGTGACAGGCTCAGTCAGAAGGAGGAATTTGAGGAGCCGCGAGGAAGCGTTTGGAAAAACCCCTGTATTTCCTGCAGGTGTGTCACTCCTTCACCATCAATATTCCTTATTCTCAGAGTTTTGTCACCGTGGGATTCTCAAGTTATCATGACTTTCGGTTAGGAGCACTCCTGGAAATTCCCCTCGTCCTGAACTGTACCAAAGTCTCCGGATTTTTTGCCTGTGTATCACCAGGGACTGCAGCATTTTTAGCGGGCGATATATGACACAGAATAAATGATTAACGGGATGAATGCCAATATTCTGGCCAGACCATTTTACAGAGGAGCTATGTCTCCAACCCCAGCTAAACAGACAGAAATCCTCACGAGTAAGCGATGATAAAGGGACCGACCCAATAACCCGATGCAGGAGAGCGAAAGTTGAACGGGTTAAATTCGTGGCCCTGGTAGAAATGGCAATCTGCTGCCTACGAGAAGGGAGAGGAACGAGATGTGTACAAGAGTGACTTTCTGATTTGACAGAAAGTGCATTAGAGATTTAAAGATGTTAATATTCTTAAAGAGAGCCCGAATTTAGAAAATCACTCTGACTCATGCTGGGAGGTTTGAAGAGATGATGAATAATGATCTGGGAAAAAAAAACAAGCCCTGCTGTAATGTGACAGGATGACAAAATCATCACATTGTCTCCATTTCTGGGAGCCTGCCTTCGACTTCCAAACACCTTTTTGTCTTTCATTCTCCTGCAAAGCTCGCCGTCCCGGGGACGTGCTTCAGAAATCTCCCATTTTCCAGGACCGTGCGCTGTTTTCCACCCGTGGTGACATGCTCAGACCTCAGGAATCCAGGGTTTACCAAGCAAAGAGCCTCGGGAATGCCTATAACACGTCGTGGCATTGCTGGCTTTGGAGTGAAGGGCTCTGGCTGGTGCCAAAGGGCTCGCTGAGGTGCATCCAAGTACCAGGAGGTGCCTCCAGAAAGCGTGGCCGCCTCCCCAGCTCCCCATCGAGCTGTCTGGAGGCACCTGGCTGCTGGTTTTTGGAAACTGAGCTTGAGGAAGGTGAAGAGATCTTCTCCTCCTCTCCTGTTTTGGCTCTGTTCTCCTCCCCTCTCAGGCCTCCAAGCACCCGGACGCAGGGCGCAAAGCTTGAGGTGTAAAACACTGGGTACAGAGAGATCCACTCTGACAGGAACCCGATGGAAGGAAACATCTCCGACGAGAAGAAACTCATCATAAAAGCTCCTCGAAGCCAGCACCTGCCCAGGCAGCTCCTCACGAAACCCCTCGCGCCAGTCCTCCTCTGGCTTGGTGGCTTTAGGTGACGCTGGGGAGGCTCAGAGCTAAGAGAGAGCCAAGGGCTGACCACAGCCATGTGCTGTGTTGGACAAGAAAGCCTTCTTGGCCACAGGTTGTCCCAATTTGTCATCCTGTAGGGTGCCTCCACTCCCATCTCCTTTACCCGTGAGCTCCAGATCCACACGAGGCCGAAAACGGGGCCGGGACAGGCAGGCGGCGGCACCAGTCCCCTGCTCAAGTGCTTGGAGGGGAAACCCTCTCACCAGCAACACTAAATTTAAAATACTCGATAAAAAATGAAGAAAAATAAAAGCATTCTGTCCTTTCTCATCACTTGAGGGCCACCCTCCTCGGCTGCTGTTCTCCCAGCCCTGCCACCCGCCCGGCGACAGCTCTGCCAGGCTGGGGACGGATCTCCCCAGCTTTTAGCTTTTTACAACACCCCAACGCCGCATTAATTTGGGATTTTCAGCCCGTGTGAGGCGCAGATGCCCTTTCCCCGGGCCGACCTGCTGCAGGTTTCCCGCAGAAGGGGCCGGCAGGTCCCTAATTTCGGCCACATGTTGAGGGAGAGGAAGAGGGAGCGGGGCCGAGGAGGGGGGGGGTTGGAGGCGCGCTGATGAAAAGAGCAGCTCCACAAGTGAAGCACATTACCAGCCCGGAGTGGAAAGGGCCGGAAGGAAAACCCACCCACCTCACCCCGCGTTTCTTCTATCAACCTGCAATTGAGGCAATCAAAACCAGCTGTCGGCTCTTCCAGATCTTTCTCGCAGGACAAACACGCCAAAGGGCCCGGGGCCCGGCGTTGCCAGCAGCTGGTAATTGAGACCAGATGAGCCCCGGGAACGGCAAAGCACATGCGAGGCGAGCCCCGGCCCCGGGAGAGGTATGAAATTGCAGGTCCCGCTGAGCCTTTAAGTGCACGGTGCAGCGGCAAAAAACAAGTGTACGGCGAGCAAGGAGCCACCTGCCCGTGTACCACCAAGCCCCGGGGGCCACAGGTTGCCCGGGGCTAACGCTGAGGCCGTGCGGTGCCCGGGGGGGGACGGGTGCAGGTGTGGGGTCGCTCAAGCCCTCGGCACCAGCAGCGGTTGTCCGTTTTTTTTTCTTCCCTTTCTTCTTCTCTTCTTCTTCCTCCTCTTCTTCTCCCACCCGATGGGATCCTCTAAGCCCCAAGTTAAAGAGGGGGCAGCGAAACGCCAGGCGGAACTGCAACGTGGTGTCAGCCCTGGGTGGCCATACAGGCTCTGAAAAAGCAACAGCAATAGAAAGAGACCCCAAAATTTTCTCTTCAGACTCGGTTTTGTCCGTCCCACCGCTGGCAGGTCCCTGGGTTCGCCGCCAGCATCCCGCACGGGGCTCTGGGGTGCTGGGTGAGAAGAAGGCAGAGCCACCAAGTGGATCCTAATGAGAAACCAGAGTGGTTTCTACCAGGCATTAGGGAAGGAAAAGGAAGAAAGGCGAGAGGGACAGGAAGGTTGTGAGGGTGAGAAGTGAGCAAATATTGCAGAGGAAGTCCCGGGGATGGGGGACAAGAAGATGGGAAGGCAAAACGGAAAGCAAAATTCATAGAGAGGGGAATTGAATAAGTTAGGAAGGTGCCAGGGAGATGGGCACAGGAGGCCACTGAGGGCTCCCCAGGCTTCAGCCCCATCCTGGTGGCACCTCCCAGAGCCAAGGCATGGGTAAAAGGAGGCAAACAGAGCCAGAAGGCGGCTGAGGAAGGAGAAAAGAGGAAATGACAGATTGCAGAGCCACCGAATCTGTAAAGGCCAACAAGGAACTGGGTCTCAAGAGCCAAGGGCCAGAGGTGGCCACCTTACCTTGAGGTAAGACCAACGAGCAGCCCTTTGAGGGGCTCGGGGATGGCCCTGAGGACGCAGAAGTCAGCGGAGAGGAGCAGGAGGCACGGCCAGGAGGGGAAACCAAAATGCAAAAGGGAGAGGGAGTCGGCAGGAAGGGAGGACAAAGCACCAGGGGTGTGACTGGGGAGGAAAGATGTGACAGAGCCGGGGAGCGGAGCTGACATCCTGCACTGCCCACAGCCCCGACGCTCGCAGAGAGGCAGCGAGGCAGAACCAGACCTCAAAATATATATAAAAAATAAAAAAAGGCAATAAAGAGTGAGTAAGAGCAAAAAAAGTGGGAAAAGAGAAATAAAAGTGATGATGAAAAGAACAAAGGTGCCACTTGGCCGGGCTCCAGGGCGAGTTCTCAGATGTGAATTCTAATTCACATTTAATAGAAGATAGCGAGTTTTTAGGCTTTTTTTTTTAAAGTGAAGGACTTCCCAAAAAGGACCATCTCACGCCTTTTCCTTCTTCTCGGGATCTGCTTTCCAACTTCCTTTTCTGCTCTGCTTTTACCGAGAGCCATTTTGTGCTTTTTTTTTTGCCTTCTTTTTCCAATTTTCTGCTTCCAGACACACGCGGAGACGGGAACGCACCAGAGTCTGCCCAAATTTTCCTCTTAAATCTCAAGCAAGCGAAGGGTTCACCACCATCCTTGGCCAACATCGACCTTGCCCACCACGATCCCATATCTTGGGGCTGACAACCATGAAGTGGATGTGATCCATGTGCCCAAAGAGCTCTGAGAACCCCCTCGGTTTGGGGTGCCATCAGCTTCAGGTGCTGAGCCACAAGAAAAACCAGGAGGAGAAGAGAACCGTTTGCTTTGTGTGTCAGCGGAGATGTCAGTCCCCATTAATAAATCTATCCGCTAAATCTACTCTTATTCATGGGGGACATCACCAAGTTAAAGTAAAATAAATTATCTTTAATTAAATGGAATTGTCGTCTTCCTCCTGCTATCATCCCCAATTATTACATCCTAATCAGCCCTTTTGGGAGAAGGCACGAGGGAAGGCTGAAAGGCACATTTACTCTAAACAATTTCTCTCTCTGTCAAGAGATGGAAGTTTTATTTTAATTATTGTTTAGGGCTCCGATTTTTACCCTTTTTTTTTTTGATGAAAGGGATTAAAGTTTAAAACTGCCGTCATTCGAAGCAAGGAAGAAATCTGCTGGTGTCAGAGCAATTTCCTCTTCGGCCCTCCTACGATTTGAAGCCCAGAGCGAGATGTGCGAATCCTTTGGGTCGACTCCTTTAGGATGAGATCCAGTGGGGGATTTCCATTCAAAAAAATAAATATTCTGGCTGCAGACGGGAGGTGAGGGCACTCAGAGGGCTACGAAACCCTCCTGGGAGCAGAGCACTGCCACGGGGTGAGCGCCCAGGAGGCTGAAGGTGCCTGGAGGATGTGTTGAAGTCTCCGGGGCTGTCCTGGAGAAGGTCGGCTTGCCCGTGCTGGAAAAGGCTGCTCTTTTTCAAACAACGACAATTTAACCCCATATATTTCCCGGGACGCGTTATCACCACCACCTGCACGGTGAACGCCGCGTCAACTGGCCAGAAAGCTCCTGGCACCAAAAAACCCCTCAGCCAAAATTTACCGAGGACGCACCAAACGTCCTACAAAGCTCTGCCCGTCCAAAATCAGCAGGAGCTGCACTTTAATATTAATCTCCAGGCCCTGTGTAGATTTAAAAACGCATTTCTCCCCCTGCCAACGCTTGCTTGTTGGCCGTGAAGCACCCAAATGCACCCTGAGCACCCCCTGCCCAGTCACAGGACGAGATAAATTTCGGCTAACAACAAAAAGGGGAAAGCAGAGATTGTGACAAGGGCTGGAAAAAGGGAAGAAGCGCTCCGTTCCCATTAATTAACGCAACCTTTTTATATATATATATAAAAAAAAAAAAAAAAAAAAAAACCACGCACTTTTCAGGGTGTAGCACTGTTTTCATTTAACGCCGCTTTGAATTGCCGCCTCCAGAAGTTAAAAAAAAAAAAAAAGAAAAAAAAAAAGAGGAAAAGAAAGAAACCACAGCTCTCCAAGCCTGCTGACTTCTTATAAAAGAACCAGTTTTAAACTTGTTTACACTACTGGTTCCAAATGAATTCAAGATGGTGGCTAGTTAAAGAAAGGGAGCCCATGCCAAGGGGTTTGATCAAAGGGCTCCCATTCAACAATGTTCAGTTTTAATTGACCACTAATTAAGCTACATTAGTCAAAGAAAAGTCTCTATCACTTCTGAGTGACGAAGAAAAGAATTCCTTTAACCCTGTCCTCGTCCTCCTTCAGCCGGCTCGCGGCAAAGCAGCTTCTCGAGTCTCCGCCTTGGAAGCGTTTCCAGGATCAAGACGCCAACAAATCATTTTTTTGGGGGGGGGGTTGAGCCAAAAAAACTCAAAAAGAAGAGTCGGAGGAGGGCTGTCGCGTCAGGATCAGATCGATCAGAGGGAGCAATGAGAGATGCCGACGCGGAGCTCGCTCCGAGCAGCGGGGTCGGGAAGGGAAAGGCTGGGAGGTGGCACCGGGATGGTTTGAAGGAAGGCCAAAAGTCCTCGATATTCCCAAGGACTTCATGGAGAAGTTTGTAGGATGCAAGGAGCAGCTCCCCAGCACCACAGCCCTCTTTGCCGAGGGCTACACTCGCGGCCTTCGCTTGCATTATAAGTTATCCTAACGATTTTTGGCAACAAACCGCTGCCTTTCAGATAATGGCATTTAATGAGGACCATCTCTTTTTTTTTTCAGCGTTCTGCCCCAGGCTCATTAAAATGCACTTGTTTTTGCCACGCAAGGGCTGGCTCTCCGAAACCAAAATATGAATGCAAATGGGCGCTGCTAAGTTTAAAGCGGGATTTGCATAACAGGAACCCAACGCGGCGCAAAACGCCTCTCAGCACCGCAATTATTGCAAGGGGGGGGGCAAAAAGGGAAAAAAAAGATGGGTTGTGTGAGCCACCACGAGCTCGAGGATGAAGGAGCTGCTGGTTCGCGACACCGTTAGCTCCCGACGCCCGGTCTCAGCGAGGAAAGGGGGTCTGAGAAGCCTAAAGGGGGCAAAGCCAGGGGTTGTGCAACTGTTGTAGGGCCGCAGCCGCCAAATCGGGTTTGAAAAATAAAGCTGAGCACTGCTGGGCCTCCGTCTTAGAGCTATCAGGGAGATCAGTCAGTCAGAAAGTCACCCCACGATTTATTTCGTGTGTTGTCTGTGAAAAGTTAGGCTTGGGGGTGCTCAGCCCCGTGGTGGGGGCTTGCCCTGACATCCTACAGCACCCCAGCACCGCCAGCTACCTCAGTGCAAGGCAACTGGGTGCTTTTGGGGCCGCCCACTTCGCTCTGCCACCAAAGTAAAGGTTTCCAGCCTTAAAATGCTCCCACTTTTGTGCTGACAGTGGCAGGAGCCTCAGAGCAGGCCGAGCGAGCGCCCCAACGCCTCATGTGACACCACCGCGGGCGGGCGCGTGCTGACGAGATCCTGCTCAATGCCAGCGAAGATTCAGGAAAAAAACACCAAAAAAAACACCCCACGGTTCCATTTTCTGTACACGAAAGCTCCACAGAGGCACCCGGTCCCTCCCAGCACCTCAGGCGGCCTGGTGTCACCGAGCACAGGCCCGTAGCCACACGGCCCGTCCCGGTGGCCAAAGCTGAGGCGGGAGCCCCGCCACCACCGGCCCCTCATGGCTTCCAGCTCCTCAACCAGGCCCAGGAACCCCACAGCAGGGCCTGGCAGTGCTCTGAGGCCTTCTTGCGAGCCCCAACCGCTGCCTCACGGCCCTAAAAGCACCTCCATCACCCTTGGGGGCGAACACGGAGCTGTGGGGCGCCCCTACGAGCTGCCCTCTCTTGGCTCCGGCAGAGCCAGCGGCCCCTCTCCACAAGACAGATGTGTGCTGGGGGCACGGCTGGGTTATTTCTCTCATCCCCATGCCGGGGAGATCGGGGACCATCCAGCAAAACCTGCCCTTGATGGTCCTGGAGCTGCGATATGGCGACAGCCCCCGGCACGGAGCCGAGGCAGAGGACGGGCAACCACGAGGCGCCGATGGCAGCAGGCACAGGAGGAGCAGCACTCGGTAAAACTGCATTAAAGCAGCTTCAGCATCACCTAACGGGACTTCTGCCTTCAATAACGTTCCCTGCTGCTCATAACCCTCAGGAAAAGAGGCTCAAGACCCTCACTGGTGGGACAGAGCCCGAGGAAGCAGCCCGAGCTGCACTGTGCTAACAGGTGCAGGAAGAATAATACCCTGGGCAATCAACTTCCCTTCCCTCTGATTTGTGAGCTCGGCTTAATAATGCCATCAGGAACGTAAACATTTCGGCAATCCCCATTGAAAAGTCAATAAAATAATGGGGCGCACGGCTCAGCCTCCTTAATTTTTTAAGTCAGACGTCTGATTATTTTAATCGCGTCAGCACTCAGCTGAATGGGCTTAAATAGCGCATGCTGCATCGATCGGGTTTGTTTTATTCATCAGAAAGCCATTGAGCAATTCGGCATTATTATTATTATTTTTTTTTTCTTCCTTCCTTTTCTTTCCTCCTTTCAGCTGGCTGCATGCGATGCCACCAGCAGGCCCTTCCCCGTGCGGCTGCTGGGCTGCGTCTTCCGGGAGGAGGGCCGGTGCCGGGCACGGATTTCCAGGGCAAAAAGCAATCCAGCGGGGCTCCGAGCGGGGTTTAGCGGCACTGCTTGGCCAGATGCTGCACGGCAAAATCCTCCAGCTGCAATCCGAGGGCCGCCGGGCGAGCAGGGAGCTGCGACAGCAGCCCTGGGGCTTGTTGCACCGTGCCCACCGCATGCCCAAGGTCCCTGGTGATGCCCGCAGGGGGACGGAGCTGCTGGGACCCCTCTGTGCCCAAAATCACAGCAGAAGGAGCAGGAGAGCAGCAGCAGCAGCAGCAGCAGTGCCCTGCTTGCATCCGAGCTGCAGCTCATGTGCTTCTCATTACAGGCTTTGCAGGCGTTGTAAAGAACAATTCGATCCCGCGCACATGGGTTCTCACACCAGCCCCACTCCTGTTCAGACACCTAATAAAGCCCCGCAGGTGCACGAAATTTCCTCCGCCGCAACTTTTTTTTTTTCTTTTTTTTTTTTTTTTGCCTTTTAATATTATTAATTTTATAGGCGAAGCTCGGGTCCTCGGCGGGGAAGGAGTTGGGAACCTGGGCACCGAGCTGCACGCCGCAAATTGCGGCCGGGGAAGGGGGGATTTGTGGTGGGCAGGTTTCAGGCTGAGATGCTGCACGCTGGGGCTGCGCTGGGAAAAAACCCAAAAGCTCTGCCCTAAAGAAGTGGGCACCCAGCAGACAAATCCCTGAAGGCTCCAGGGCCGATTCTGCTCCTCCTGCAGCCCACCTGAAAGCCCCCTTGGGCATCCAGGAGGTTGCACCGTGCCAACACCTCCCCAGAAAGCAAAACCAAAACCGAATAACGAGCGCAGAGCTCCCAACCGAAGAGGCACCGATTTAGAAAGCTTCCCGGAACGAGGCCTAGCCTAAATTAGGTGGATGAAATAATTCCCAGGGAAATCTCGGGGATTTTTCAATGTCAGGAGGAAAGCTGAACGCCAAATCTTGCCAAATCCCCGCTCAGGTGTGGGGGCGCATCCCCCCCCCCCCCCCGTTAAATCCCAAGAGGTTTAAGCAAAACTTTTTCCCGAGCCCGAGCGTTTCTGTGCCGTGAAATAAGCACACGAAGGACCGGGAGATGGCTTCTGACGGCCTGACCTCGCCGTGACAGCCTGCCTTACCCCCTCCCTGCCTTTTTATTTTTATTTTTAATAAAAAAATAATCAAAAAAGCAGCAGGAAGGCAGGGCAGCCCGGGGCAGGCAGCTCGTGCCCCTCTCCTGCCACCACGGCGGCTGCACAACTTCAGGAGCCGGTGAAAAAAAATAAAATAAAAATAAAACGAGTTCCCCTAGCGATGTGCCGTCAGAAAACGAGGAAGAAAGTGGCTGAAAACGCTCCCTTTTCAAAAAGAAATTCCCTGTATGAAAGCAGCAAATCCCACGTCTCCAAAGTGCCACGGCAATTTTACAGTAAGCCGACTTTAATGCAAACCAGATTGATGCCGAAACAGGAAACAAACAATTCTTCTGCACAATTTCCTGTAGATCAATTGGAAAGGTATTTAAAGACTGCACCAGCTATTAGATCTTTTGTTAACCCCCCCCCCACACACACACACACACCCCCCCCCGGCCCTGCCCACAAAAAAGCCGCTCGGAGCGCACGCTGGCAGAGGATGTCAACACCAGGCCGTAATTCGCCGTGCCTCCCATCAATCAATAACCGAAGAAAATCCTATTTAGAATCGCTTTTCTTTAAAAAAAAAAAATAGTATAATAATAATAAAAATAAAATAAAACCAAACCCGACCACGGTTCGTTTCCAAGCTGGCACAGCCGAGGACGTGCAGCTCGGTTCGGAGCAGATTTAAATCCCGCGTGCATCCAGAGGGAGCATTAAGCTCCAGAAATGCCCAAAATGGTTTAGGAACCCCCCCCCCAGCTTTGCCACCCTAAAGCTGCTCCCATTTCGGAGGAAAGCACTGGGACCCGTCAGAGGCAATGCTGCACTGCCCGGAGAGGTGTGCCGAGCCTGAAATGGGTGTTTTTAAATAGATTTGGGTTCTGCAGGCTCTCGGGTTCACAAAAACTCACCCCGTCCCCCCCCTCCTGAACGTGAAACGCAGCAAACACCGCCCGGGTCTCAACCTGCAGACTGCCAACTCGCCCAATTTTTGCTTTCCCCTCGTTCTCGGGAGGGAGCTTACGGGATTCGCTTCGGTGACGAGATAAAACACGCAGCCTCGCCGCAACCTCCCCCCCCCCAAACAATGAGCCAGCCTTCCAGACGGCTTGGCCTCGACCCACGGCCCCAAAAAAGCAGCGCCCGGATCCGTTTTTAC